TATCATTGAGCACCTTCGTACGGGTTTCACTGACTATAAGTCTTCTCAATAAATATTATGTTCACCTTTTTTAATCAGATTACAATCTATAGATTTGCATTTTTGTTATGTCCTTCAACTATTTACTATTACTACTAAAGTACACAAAAAAGGTATAGTTAGTCATAACACTCATCAAACACAACACTCAACAAACCTTATCAGTTCTGAATGTCCCTTTTATTATGTAAGGTGAATATAATTTACATTACGTGTCATCTATCTTCACACGAGAGTATATAATCTCAGTTTTGATTAGGTTATTATCTATGCATCGAGAACTTAACGACATCTTGTATAAATCGTATAATTAAAAGACGACAATTGTAAGTATATCAAAGTTCACAACACACTAAATTTTAATTGAGTACATTTGTATAATAAAAGTACAAAAAACAATAAATTCAAGAAAAACCTAGTTTCGGTAAAAAATTAAGTTGATATGTGGTCCTCACTGAATGTAGTCAGCGTACAGTCATGTGTAATAATATATTAAAACACTGTACTTAAAGCACTCGCACTCTTTGTCTTGGGTCGACCACCGAAGTCAGCCATATTGAATATGGTCAATGAACGTCCCTTGAACGGGTGGTTGTACAATGCCTGTAAACTTGAAATTTCCATTCTTCGGAGGGCACATAAAGCCGTCGATACCGGTTGTAGCCACTAGACAACAGTCGCTAAGTCGGGAAGCTTTTGTGCAAAGCGTACTACAATAATGAACCACAATGAATTAATTAACTTGGAAACTACAGTATGCAGTAAGATTCAAACTCTTTATGATGAGAGCTTGAAAATTAATGTATATGCCAACGATAACTGTACCATTGAGCTATAACAATATTATCAAAATTATTGCTGTAATTTTTCATTAATAGAGCACATACATATATCGTTTGTGACATAATTGAACTATTAAATAAAATAATTTATTTCACAAAATATCAATTACTAAAAAGAATCTTTCAAGCTTAAAATAAATAACGGTTTTTTTTAATAAAATCGACACGAGACGAAGCTATTTGATTCATCTCTTCATATATTTAATTCTTCTCAATATTTGACTGTCTTCAGTCATATTTGTATTAATCAGCAAATATCTCCAGAGGTATTCGGAGAATTGATGTTTAAACGATTTTAAATTATAATACTTTAACTTAAATGTTTTACTTAACTTTTTATATCTTTACAGTTGTTTATAATTTTACCATTCCGTAATATCTACCACAATGTAATCGAGTACCTACAATATATTTTATTACACTCGAATGTACCGACTCTACCAGTTACTTCTATGAACGTAATAAATTAATATCACATATTAGATCATTAATGTTGAACTACACACTACACTGCCTATACTAGTACCTACTTATGGTGCTACTATAGTAGTAATAAAAGAATTATATGGTATAAATTAATTTTCGCCCACCATTATTATTTATATAAATGCTTTAACATAAGTCAAAAGTCAATATCGAAAATTGAAATAAAGATAAATTAGCAGAGATCTGTATTATCAAAATTGTAAGCTAATCAATAAAAATTTAATTGAGAGAAAAAAAATATTCAAAATTTAAGATTTTTTTCATATATTATATAATTAAATTCAATTGTGGTAAAATTAGTATAGGACCACATCCTATCTCATATCCTCGATTATTATCGATTTTTTCTCTAGAAAATATCGTAAAAATATTTAGTAATATTAGTGCAATGAGTTTTAAAAATATTAGAATATTTATTTTAGCGGTTAGAAAAGCCATGTCACTCATAATTAACTAATTATAATGAAACATTTTTAGGAACAAGTATGTCTGTCTTTCCAACTGTCACTTCCTAATAAGAAAATGAGGAATCAGATTTCAACGAAATTTTAAAGTGGAGTAAACATCTCTAGTAGGTATATTTGTTTAATAAAAATCAGGCGAGTGAGTCATAAAATAACTACAGTTTCTCAACGCTAGTAACATTCTATAAATTTTTAATCATGACATAACAGGTGTAAAAAAATTGTCCTTGAAAATACTAAATTAAAATACATACATACCCAATGCAACGCATTAGACGGCTTGTCAGTATTTGCAATTGAACACATAGGAACTGAATGAAAAAGTAGATCAATCAAAAATCTATAATAATATGTATGTATACACCCAACTTTACTTTTTTTTATCTTTAGATATATAAAAGTTATAAAATTGTGACAAGGCACAATCTATCTGTCTGTCTATTTGAGTGTTAAGGTTTCACGTAAATACTGACGGTGGAATTAAGATCAAATATGTTAGTAAGTAAAAGCTAACGACACCTATGAAAATAATCTATGAAAGGGATAATACCCTCTACAACTTTAATTTACAATTTAATTGTAAATTAAAGTTGTAGAGGGTAATCTCTGGTTGAACCGATTTTCTAAATTCTTTTATTATTATTATGATTACCCATTTATTGGAGAAGGTTTAAACATCATGTTACGACGAATAGTAGCGGAGCTGAAATAAATATTATTAATAAATATAGTTTGATCATAATGAATAAATACTGATCTACAAATGTAACGCGTATGAAGTCGAGGGCACCACTAGTACTAACTGAAATACAACAATCAGTTTTTTTAATAATTAACAACTTAAATTATGCGGGCTGGTTTAAAAACATTAATTAAATGTAATGATAACAAAAAAAATAATGATATAGCTAATATTACTAACTCATTTGTATCTAAGTAACCTCATACTTATACAAATTAATTATGATACAAAGTAAACAAAAAACGGTTTATCTGATTACTTTAATGGAAATATTTTCCCGTGTATGTAGGTATTATAATAAAGAAACCTAAATAATAAATAAACCTACCTAAATAATATATATATATATATATATATTTATTCATATTTAATATATATAAATATATATTTAATTAATATAATCTCGTAACAATAACATGCCTCACACAAATGGCTATTGAAAACAAAAATAAACGTTTTAATTCAATTGCACTGAAATTGAAACTTACAGTGGTCGCATTAAATAAGCAGTGAATATAACATTATATTGAAAAAATACCTCAATATTTTTTTCAAAAAATTTACATTTTATTAGTGTAGGTACGTACAGACATAGCTAATTAAAAATCAATTTATTTAAGCGCATCTTTTCAGAACGACTACATATGTTATATATATTCTTTATTGTTATATTTGTATATAATTGTTGAAACAAGGTTTATAGAAATATGTTGGAAAAATATAAATATATGTAAAACATGTTCATTGGGGGTAGTGTGTTTCTTCTCGATTTCATGATTAAACCCGGTCGAAGCCTTCTTCGCCATTATTATAACATAATATACTAAACAGCGATTATAAATCATTGTAAGAACATCCACTACACTTTTGTCCGCTATTGCATATATATATATATCATATTAAGTATACATATGTATAAAAAAATCGCGGAAATAGCGCCGGTGTATATTAATTCTTGTATTATGCGAATAACTTAAAATCTATAAAAATGAATTTAATGATAATAAGTCTATCTTAATTCAAATGTAACAAAATCTTTAAAAGGAAGTTGTTCCGGAAAAATACAATCAGTACCAACGGCTTCTTGTAAAATTAAAACGAATCTATTTTGTGATTCCTTAAATGAATAGCCTTATAAGTGTGTAAAGAAATCTGGTAATTCCAATGATCTTCAGTATTGTCTGTATTCTACACACACTCCTAATTGACAAATAACGCATATGAGATTTAATCAAATATTTAATCATCACACTTCAGCCGGTCACGTATTATTATGGTCCCTTATTATTTATTTATTCGCACAATAATTAGGAGATAGTGGGAACTATTGGTGGCTGTGTACATCACACGTTTCCATCAAATTGACCACCACTCGGTTCTCCTTGAATACATTCTTAGTGAATTCCTGTTCAATTCCCTAGATGTGTCCATCGACTACACTTTATCCTCAACCTATAATTTTAAATGGTTACCCTGCCATATTACCCCGAATGTACTGTTAGCACAGGTGGATTCACTATATCATTATTATTCATTAAAACAACCTTTTTATGTGAGCGATTGTTAATACTGGAGGACTAGTGCCGTCTTATTGGTAACAACGTACCCTGTCAGAGCAACCTCCATGAGGAAAAATCCACAGAAAATATCTATCAGTAGAATACAAGCAAATTCGTCTGCAGTATTTCCAGTTTATTTTTTTGATACAATATAGCCTATGCTTTGTGATACAGTCTATCTTCATTTAAATTTCATTACGATACCTTTAGCCGTTTAATAATGTAAGCCAATCACTTTTATATTGCGAATTTAGCAGGATGTATGTAAGAAGAGTACCTAAATGGTTAAAATCCACTATGTATTTAACCCTTTAGTTATGATTTCCACCGGTGCCCGTCAACCATATCGTTAGTGTGAGAGTTCATTGTGCCACCATAATTTAAAGTCCCTTTTTTGGAGTTGTGAGCCATTCAAAACAGTTGGCAGCAGTTGAGCGACATTGTTACATGTCTTACCTCGAAATCTTTCCTAAATCTGTATTCTTATTTTATAATGACAACCACAATCCGTTTTCAACACAATAATTTATTTTTTATCAAATTGTATGAAGTTCCATAGACCTCACAGAACTTTATAGCTTAGATTAGTTCAATTGATCAAAAAATTAAAGAAAAGATAAATGTTTCCTTGCAAGTAAAGCCGCCGTGCGTATTCGCTACCATTGCCAATTCCCAGAGGCTAACTATGTCATCAGACAATACATGTGGGATAAATTACTGTAATACTTTACACGTAATATATATTTTATCATATTCAGGGATTAAATATGTTTAATTACAAAAGTGCAAATTTTGTTGCACAGAACGGCGACTGCAACCTCATATATAAACCTTGGTGATGGTTGCAACACACTCAGTACGACTCTAGTCGCTTTGCCGCTTGGAGCAGGCGCGTCCCACGACGCCGGCCACACGGAGAGGGCGAGAGAGGCCTACCTCGACACCGCTGACTGACGACCCTACTACACCGACAGACATGTGGACTGAGTGAATGCAGTGTTTTGTGACGTAATATTAGTGAACACCTATTACAGAATAAAACAATAAAAACGTGGTGGAAGAAACGTAAACAATGGATACCAAAAGTACGGTGAGTGATAAACGAAACTAATTAACATAATGATACTAGTGCATCTCTACTATATAACATAATATACTGACTAGTGTTTAAAAATATAAAAAAAAGTGATTTCAAAAAAAAATTATGTATATATAGCAATTGCCTTTACAGATCGAAGTTATAGTTATTGTAAACATTGAATTAAAAGCAGACAAGATGTCTGCTTTTCATTTCATTTTTCATTGCTCATAAACGAATTTAATATCAAACTCCGATTATCTTTGAAACATAAAAACGAACTGCCATTGTACCAAAAAGACCAGTTAAAAACACTGATCTATATATAATTCAGTATTGACATATTGAAAACTTATGTGCTGCAGAGCGAAGCAGAAGCATCTATACTAACTCGGCCGTTATTTTAAATTGTATAAAATAATTTTATAGGTAGGAGTAGTGACATAATAACTTATGTCCTCAATATTACTATTGCGGCCTGTCAGCCTATTTTGCATTATAGCAAAATTATGTATAGCTAAATAACTTATGAATTTCCTCGCTTTCTCTTTTAAAAGGTTGCCTTGACCTGGTGCAATGGCTGTGAGTAAACAGTGGTTGTTGCTACTAACACAATCAGGTCAACTTTTAATAAAAATCAATTACTGATTAGTAACAATTCGAATATCCATTAAGAAGACTGCCAAATATAATCTTATTAATATTATAAACGCGAAAGTTTGGGAGTATGGATGGATTTTTGTTACTCTTTCACGTAAAAATTACTAAACGGCTTTTGATGAAATTTTGCAGTAATATAGGTTATACTAGGATAACACATAGGATAGAATTTAAAAAGATAATATGTAAATTGGGCGAAATATAAATAATGCAAATATAATAATTGAAATGAAATAATTGAATGAAATATAATAATAGCATAAATGCAAAAATTAAGTAATGCAGACGAATTTGCGAGGGGTAGTTAGTAATTAATAACACAAACAAAGTAAATCGATTGACAATAACATAATAATGTATTCATTAGATATTTATGATGTAATTGAAACTAACTCGTTAAATTATTACTAATATAAACTAAAGTTGAGTATTCAACTCATAGGAACTATCAGTTCAGGAGAACATAAGTAAATTTTACATCGAAGAGTTGATCATCTTAATCCTATTGCTCTTATATCGAAGTCTATTACTAATAATACTAATTAATAATAATCCTCCGCCTATCATGGCATCTATTGATGCGATTGATAAGGGAAGGTCGCAGCTTGGCAAACAAGTTTAGTAGCGTTGCATCAGCCGTAGATACATCTGTAGGTCCTTGCAAAGTTGCGGACACAGGTGTACCAATACATATATATTTCATACATTTCATTATTTTCAGTTTAACACTGAAATTAACGGGGAACAAAGGTTTCCTACACGTCTATAATAGTACTAAAAATAATAGTCAGTGACCAATATATTTATATTGGTCTTACCTTAAATTACACAGGCGCCAAGCGTGGAATGTTAATCAAATCGATGATTAACACTTCTCAATGAAATTCTGATATATTATAAACAATTCTAATATATGCGTTTCCAACAATTAATGGGAAGCCGACCTTTGAATTTATTCGATACATGTTAAAGTACATTTTATGATGATTCTATAATATATTTGCCTTATGTTGTACTATAACAATATACTCCACGTATCAACTAATAAGAAATATATTATAGTATTATTCATAGTAGCTGCCTACTCAGTTGTCCATAGAAATCGTTTACATGGATAGGAATAATATTATACTACTTTAAATAAAAACTGACACAGTTATGTGATCATTAATCACAAATAATGTTTTATGAACGATTTTATGAGACAAAACAATTTTGGCGTCGATAAAACTTGTCCAGATCCGCATTTTCTATAAACGACTACAAAAACAAACAAGTTTACAGGATTGCGGATTCATTAGAATATTAAAATACACAAAAACGCAGAAATTGCGATGGTAAATTTGACACTTCGCTTGCCGTTTAATAAATTTCCGGGCCGAATGCCTAGCAACAATAATTTCAATTTCTATTTAACAGAGCAAAAATATAACATTTATCACACTACTATTTCCTTTTTACTGTTAGGTACTGTTACATATTAAGTCGTCCAGATCCGTGTTTTTCTATATGTATACAAAAACAAACTAGTTTCTAGGATTGCAGAGCCATTAGAATATTATTAAACACAGAAGTTACGATAATAAATTTGACACCTTGTCTTTGTGTGGCGTTCGATATAATTCCGGGTCAATTGCCTCGCTTTACTAGATATAATACTAATTTCTAACATTAGTAGTTTTAGCCGGTTGTAAATATTTAATCTAATGTTTTTCTTTTACTGTGACATATTTCGGAGTTAGCGCAATACCACGGAACTAGCATTGAACAATGCCTAAAACCGTACATGATTATATAAACAAATCATCACTTTATTCATATACTAACTAAAATACTTCTGTCATATCTGAGTATAAAAATAATCATATTTACATGACGACAACTGTGTAACTTGTGAATTGACAATGCGGTCATATTACACGTCAGTTAGAAGGTTATGCATACGGAAGGGTTGATTGGTTGTTAAAAAATAATAAGAAGTTCCTAATACTAGCTTCTATACATTTATATTATCTATACATATAAATAAAATTGGAGTGTCTGTTTGTAATATTGAAATAGTTTTTTTACAACATGCATATGAATATAAATACGGTACATACACCATAATAACATTTTTTACAATTTTTGTCTGTCTGTCTGTTTGTTCCGGCTAATCTCTGAAATAGCTGGACCGATTTTGACAGGATTTTTATTGGCGAGTAGCTGATGTAATAAGGAGTAACTTAGGCTACTTTGATTTTAGAAAAATAGTTATATGCCACGCGGACGAAGTCGCGTGTACAACTAGTAGTAAATAAATAATTGATTTTCAAACAATTTTAAATGCACTCAATTCGAAAGCAAGACCAGTGTATGTACCGGTCAGGGCGGGTACGAACAACTACTATTAGGCTCGAGCTAAATGGCACAGGGACTGACAACTAAAGTTGCCCTCGACGTACGGCCTTCACATTTCACAACACCCGGACTTAGCCGCGCATCCAGTGAGTCCGACGGCAGTGCATTCATTCAAACAAAAACGGCGAAAGGAGGTGACGGTAATTCTGTAAATAATTGCTGAATATCGCAACTGTGGTGTTCAAACAATTCTAGATCGGTCACCATTAAACCAACAGCATACAGTTTTAGATGAAATATATTAGTAATTAGAGACAAATATTGATTGATTCATTATGTAATATGTTGAATGTAGTATCATGGAACATAGATATGTTACATACATATGAATAGTAGTGTGTGTATAAAAATGTGTTGACAACCCTAAGTTTTATTAGGTATGATTTTTTGACGACCTCGGTGGTCTAGCGGTCTAGCACACCGCTTTACGTCCGATGGTCGCGGGTTCGATTCCTCGCACGGCACAAACATTTGTATTCACGAGTATGATTGTTTGTATCGGTCTGGGTATTTTCTATGTATAATATGTATGTATTTACGAAAAAAAAAAATCGATGTATTTGTATCAGTTATATAGTACCCATAACACAAGCTTTAGCTAGCTAACTTGGGTCTAGATGGCGCTGTGTGAATTGTCCTGAGATTATTATTATTATTATTATAGGTACAAAGTAGATTTCGATTCCTAACAATAATAGAGTAATACTCGAACTTCTTAATTTAATCAAAAATCAAATAAGTAATTAAATTTTCATTAACGAATATTTTGAAAATTGTATTTTCTGAAAAACTGTCCTCACTAATCTACTTTGGCGCAGAATGTTCTGTGTACCACATTTATTACTTTGTTTCTAAAATTGGATAATAATTATTATAATGGCTACATTAGTTCATTTTTCATTCATTGATATGCTTACTCCGTATCACAGCGAAGTATTTAACTATAAAGTTAGTAGCCAATACAAAAAAAAACCGACTTAATAGTCGTTAATTTTTCCATTATTAATCATGTTATAACTATGTATAACTTGATTGGTAGTGGCTTGATTAATATACCCGAAATATTGAAACAAAAAATACCTAGTTCACACCAGTGTCAGTGACAAATTAATGAAAATTCAAAGACTTACTTCAGTAGTTCACGGTCATTCGGTTTGCACAACAGTTATTAAATTAATGAATCGCATGAACGTTATCTTTATCTATACGTATCTAATACAATTAATAAAATTGCAAGGGTGTCTTCTATAAGTCTGTCAGTACATTGGTTTATGATTTCGCAAAATTTTACTAGTATTGCACAGTATTGTACCTAATGGTCCATATGGTATTTATGTATACATACCATATGGAATCTTTTTTTAATTATCAATATTTGTTTATTTGTTACCTCATCGTGTAAATAATACTCAATTATAACGTAACTTTAAAACCCGCTCAATATATGTTTTAACAGAATCGGTTGACCTGATCATGAGACAGACTGATCACTAAAATGCATGAACAAAATCAAACAATTAGAACGTTGACGTCTTTTGTTCAGAAAAGATGTTCGCAGCCTCAACTATTATTGTGTAAAACGTATTTAAATTTTGATAGTGATAAAAGCCTATTTTTTAATTCTTTATTGTTATTGACGATTCAAAAACCGATTAAGGAATTTTAAAGTGCTTATTGCTGAATATGTTAGCATCATATTATGACCGTGAGAATTAAACAGTAATTGACACGTTAATAATTCTGTACATTATAAGAACATAATAAATACTCAATGGTGTCTTGTATAAGTCAAGTTTTGCCTATAGTATTGTCTATATAACCCAAGTCGGGGTTTTCATGTTAAACACATTTTTTAAACGTACATACAAGACGCAAAGACAAGGGTAATAACGACTTTTATGACATTTTCAATTATGTGTATCCTTAAAATTTAGTAATAAGAAAATATGGCC